ACATACTCACATTTACATGGACATTTGCAACGATTTTCGTGACAAACTTGGTGTTCAAAGAAACTGTTTATATTATATAAATGCGCCAGTACAATTCTCAGGGGAAGAAAACCTCTCCATTGGGCCTTAGGGGATGCTGTATTTAAGTGTCCATTCAAATCCGTCGACAGACTCCATGCACACACCGTGCGTGACTATGAATAAATAAGACATGGTCGTTATTTAAGTAACACTGGTAACGTTTATAAAGTAGAATCGTATTTCAATTTTGAAGTGTCCCAAATGACCTAATGATTGCTACTTTCTATAACATAACAATGATTTCATATATCATATTGTCACAACCAACGCCACTGCGTTTTAAAACGAGGAGCATTTTATTAGAATTGAACCTCTTAATTTGGCTACAATATTTGTGTATAAAAACAATTTCAACTGATTTTAAACTAAATGAAGGCAATCTGTAGTCATGGATACCAGCCATTGATAAAAAATACATATTTCGATGGTCATCCTATTATAAAATTTCACATGCAGAACATTTATTTGAACAAAATTGGGATACTTATTCTGAAAATAGGTTTGTAATTTGGAACATATTTAACATGTTCTGTAGTCATCATTCTTATATATTAATAGCACGTGAACTAAACAAATACATTTTTCATTATTCCTGTATTATGTATTTAGTCACTTTTAGTCTTTAAATAGGCGTCCAAGTCAGTAGCCTTATTGTTGAATTCTTCTAATTTTATTTCTGCTGTCTTTTGAATGGAATGTTTCATGACACCTAACTCTCAAAATAGAGATTGACCACGTGGTTCGGCGTCCATCTCGAATATAAAAATAAATGCAACATCTCTCACTAATGTAGGGGTCTATGCAATCTGAAGTGTTTGTGGTAGAACACTAAGCATATGAGGAACCTATTTCACGGTTCAAACTGTTTTTATTTATTTATTTATTTATTTATTTATTTATTTATTTATTTATTTATTTATTTATTTATTTATTTATTTATTTATTCAACTGTTGTGTATTTTGCGGAACAAACACGGTTCAAAGTACAAGCTTACTTATATTTTTTGAGAAAATTAGTCATAAATATTTATTATGTAAAATCATGGCACCATGAAATAGCATTAGTTTCTACGTCACAGGTACGTATTCAGAAATAATTCAAGACATTCATAATATATTTTGTGTTTTCGCTTATGTTACCATCACACAAGGGGTACATTTTATTGAAAAATGAATAAATTATGGGTATTTTCATTTATGAGTAGGCTTCTACGTTAAATGAACTCTCATGTACGTGAACATTTAATTGTGTTTCATTATTGACATATATGTGTCACAGTATTACACAGACCTGATTTCTAACACAGTGATGATAGAAGCCATGTCGACCATTATGTGTCGGATTTATTCAATTCTCGCTCGCTAGCGATACATGTAGGCGAATGCGATACATGTGGTATGAATGTCATTTACAGATACTGGGTATGAACCATTCAGTGTTATTTTCTTGATGATTGGAGTATAGTACATTTATTAAGAAAAAGGTGCAATCATGTGTCATTTGCAGTATTACTCTATACACACAAATTAGTTGAGATAAATTGTTGAGATGCTTGTTTGTAAGCAACGACACGCATGCCCCGGCTTTAAGTACCCCCCCCCCAGCAATTGGCAATCAATGTACGCTTTAAGATGTGCGTGTGGACATTAATTTGTGTTCATTTGCAAACAACGTTATTGTACCTTTATATGTGAAGGGGCATATATAAATCAAACAAAGACTGGAAGCATGTTAGGTACATGGAATATCTTTTGTATCTTGAAGTGTCGATTGACCATGACAACCCCTCTAATCATGATATATCTTGCTTTCCTCTTTAAATGTGAGCCACGGTGTGAAAGAATGGCGACTTTATATTCTGATAAAAGTATATTAAGATTATGTAAACAAACACAGCTAATCGGTGACGAGAGTTTCACATATTTAATTACGACATACAAAACAATGCAACAACAGTAAAGACTAACAGTCGAATGGGTATATTTATACTTGTTGAAACTAGTTTATATAATATGCATGTACACGGACGCATTATTATGACAAGCTAAATTAATTTGTCAATACATCTCCATTATATTATGGCATTGAATCAGTGTCTACTTTTGCAGAGAGCTAGTTTCTACTAGTTTCTTTCCGTCAGGTTTCCGTAAATTTCATCAGTTCACATTCTATATGTCTATATATAATTATATATATATGACATTCTACACAGTAGTCATGGCAACAGTGGTATAGATTCATTGACAACAAATAATAAGAGATTTCTGCTACTGAGTACATGTGCACGATTCCTGTAGTTCGGGCATTGTCGGTGATCTTTCATTAGAACCAATAACCAATCACTGACATCAATGACGTTTGATTTCTTGTTCATTTCCAGGAAATCAGGTTCTCCAAGGAAAATCATCTCAACTGTTCTTCAGAGTACTGGTCAGCTCTCATACTGCTGACACGGGATGGCAGGTCATCGTTCCAGGATAGCGGTGGGCGACGATGTTGTGACGTACAGGGCGCCTCGCCGACGCCGTCAGACCGTTATGATGTTAGCGGCAGTATTGATTCCGAGCGTTATTGTGGTCGTTAACACGGTTGTAACACTCAATTCTGCTGTAAAACATAAAGTGCAAGCGGAGGTATGTATGTATGTTCTTTTCATACTGATTGGAACACACTTAATGGATTTGGTTTAATTACTGTTCATTGTATGCGCCATATTTCAAAGCATATTTTTCTTCTGGTACTTGTTTTATGGATCTCAACTTGTCTCACAAAGGTATCATCCACATCGTGTTATGCAAAGTGAAAGGTGATATATTGAATAAACACCTAACCAGACCATACATTGTTTATGGAAAATTAAAAGGAAAAACCAAACCTCAAAATAAATTAAAATGTTATGTTCCCACCATGTCATGCACCTCAAGTTGCCGCGGCGGTAACATCAAATAAGTCTTCTACAATACCTAGTGACCTCAACTCAATGAAAGGTAAAAGTGTTAACGACCACAAAACCTGGCGAAATACATTTATCAATTATGTTTAAACTATATAATGACAGTAAAGAAGGTTTGTCGCAGTGACGATGTTGTATTCTACACGTGTCGCGTACATTAATATTATTATCTGCCAAGTAAAACACTGAAGACACTCAAAATGATCCTTGTTGCTTTAATGTGTCGTATGCATAAACCATGAGACTTATGAATAATAAGGATTCGCGGTTCATTGCGATAATTTTAATCGTCATCTTATAATTATCGAGAAATCACTTTAGACCAAACGTCAAATATTTTTAATTCGAAGTGCTATCACACGTACAACTTTGTGTATAGGCTACACACACAACATAGTTTAGTTGAATGAATGAAAGACAGGGAGAATGCCATACCTACAGTTGAAGTACAGTACCGAGACACAATTATTCGATAGCTGTATTCTATAGTTAGTTTCTATGCGACTGACGTAATGTAATTAATTGTTAATGAGGTTGTTTGATTCGGAAACTAAACCAAAAACAAGGCAAACCATCTAGAAGAAAAACGAACATGTAAGTGCGGTGTACTTGAATGTGATCCTTGGTTGACAACAGATATTTTCAACAACGCTTGGCGGAAAATAGTAAATGTTTTATAAAACATTTTGACAAATCGTAAGGCAAAAGTAAGTCTTTCAATGACCACAAACATACTTTATGTTCGACATTTGGTGTATTACTGTACATGCCCATTATATTGCTATATCTTGTATTGAAAAATAATTTGTATTTGAAATACCACGAATCGTAAAATTCAACTAATACAAACAGCACATCCAAAGCATCTAGTTAAGTAATAACGGATAGAAAAAAATCCATTTGTTGTTAACTAATTCCAAATTAACTCGTTTATTTTTGCAGCGGACTGAAGACATGATAAGACTGAGTCTTATAACCGGGGATTTGGTGGATGCACTGGAAAATGAACGATCTTACGTAGGTATGCGTATGATTTCAATACGCGCCAACTTCACTCAAGATACGCGAGATATGGTCGACTATAATTTGAATACAGCTATAGAGAGAACTGATGCGGTATTAAATAAAATGACAAGCTGGCCTGCCACAAACAGTAGTTATACCAAGCAACTTTTTATTGCATCCCTGTACGAACACCGACAATTGCAACACGACGACAATTTTGAGTTTCGGGAAGAGGTTGAGTTTTATACCGAGACAGGTGAAATGTTCATTCAATGACATCACCTTGTTGCTCATTTCCTCTGGTGTTGAAAACATGTGGCGGTGGCTACAAGCTTACCAAACCATGCATTATACCAAAGACAGAACCGGGATCATACAGGTGTTAGGGAGTAAGATACTCGCGTTTGGAGCCGTTACACAAGACGAATTAACCTGGCTCGTTCAGCTGGAATTCGAACGCGACCTTATGTTCGACGACTCCAACAAATACATGGACGAGCGGCACGAAGTATACCCAGAGCAACATTTTGACGTCTATCAAATTTTTAACAACATTGACACTATGTCAGCAGAGATCCACAAAAATGATCTTCCCGAACCATCGGAAATCTCGTCATTATATTGGTTTGGTAATCATAGTCTCGAAGTAGAGGTCTTCGATGATATCCACGTTCACATTGCACATGATATTCTAGAAATTTTAGAATCAAACATCCAGAAAGAGTATACACAATTCGTCTACAGTATTATTTGTATTGCTCTCGTCATCGTGTTTTGTCCAATATTATTTGTATGGTATGCTAGATCCCTGAATGAAATGATGCAAGAGATTCGTACCTATACCATTCGTTTGAACGCAGAAAAGCTGCGAGCTGAAAAGCTTCTCTACCAGATGCTTCCACCTACTGTAGCCGAGCAGTTAAAACTAGGCAAACAAGTTCGTGGAGAGTCTTACGAAGAGGTGACTATTTATTTCAGTGATATTTGTGGATTCACTGAGATGTCAGCAGCAGCCAACTCGCCTTGGGACATAGTCGACTTGCTCGATACACTGTATACTACCTTTGATAACCAGATAGAAAAATACGATGTGTATAAGGTGGGTGTGTCCTAGTTGCATACATATCTCGATTACTAAATAATTAATAGGTAGTCGCCACAAGGCTTTCCTCGTATATTTGATGTTGTATCCATAGGTAGTCCCAATGGAATAATACAAATTCAATTCGATTTAATACAAAGAGCGCTGACGAATGGTTTCAGTATTCAGAAAAAATATTAATCGATTCCGTGATATTTATCTTCTTAGAACTCATTGAAAGCATACATTGATTCTTCTTAATACCTAGTTGCCACACTGCAACTTGAATGTCACTGAAAGCCATGTCTCATACGAGTGTATGTATTTACATGGATTGTTTAAAATAATCGTCCGGAAAAACAAGAAACATCTTCCAGAAATAGAGGTGGCTTTGGCACTATTCACATCCATCCTATAAATTGCACTGAAATTGCCATTTTCAAGGGATTCATTCAGGCTATCGAGCGCCCATATATTCAGCAGATCATATTATTAATTATGTGTAATAGTTGAAGTTCAGGTATTCAAACCATTTTTACCACCGTGCATTATCTGGCTATTAGTGACTTTTGAAGTTCACACGCAATTACGATGGGAATTGATAGTATTTAGGAATGTGACAGTAAACTCATTTTTCATTTGTATCGTTTTCAACCCGTTATGGAATTATGTGCGCACGGACAATGTGGCTATTACCTTATCTGCATCAACGAATTACCCAGAGAGCGGAACTACCGAAACAAAAGCTTGGGTACGAATGGCGTTTTATCCACGCCTTATATGAACTGATAGTTACTATGACGATGAAAGAGCGGCCATCCCACTCTTCATGACGTTGCAACTGTTACAAATGTCTATATTCAATGAGCAAAATAAAATCAGAAATACTATACTAATATGAAGAGTGGTGAAGCAGCAAAACGAAAGTCCAGCTACCAAGAAAATGTCACTTGATCAAGTGTGGTATAACCAGACGCAAATGAAAGGCGTAACAAAAAATAGTGGACAGTACAGCATCTGGGTTGTGGACGGTGAAACACTGATCAGCGACTGATGAATTTGATGTTCAATGCAGTATGTTTGGTGCATTTCAGCGCCCTCAACAGACCATTTTCCGTTTACTGCGAGAATCACGCGTTAGCGTGAAATCGAACATAAAAACAGGACAAACAAAGGTCATAGCGTCGTAGTGGCGTCAAACATCGCGTGGGATTCGACAAACGCGAAGTATTTTAGGGGGCATTTCCATGCTTAATAATGTGCTGTTCACATTTCTGATAGGCAATTTCGATTAAGTGTGGGTATTCGAAAGCAATATTCCTCTGTCGAAGATCGGCCGGTCGGTGTGAGTTACGAAATAAAGAAATTCTAGTTCAAAATCAAATCGTTCGACTTT